AAGACCATAGCCCAAATTACAGATGTAGTGGAGGAGTCTTCTTGTAGGGAAAGTAGTTCCCCGGAAGCAGAACGGGGTGGCCCTGGCTTGGATACTGAGGATTATAGTGCAGTCAGAGAAATTGCACAACTTGAGAACACGCCAAAAATTCTACCCAACCAAAAGCGAAATTGTGCAAATTCTATGTTTGGGGCATCTGTAAGCATGGAATATCAGGGAAAGCAAATGGGACATGCAACTTTGAGCATCCAAAATAATGACTTGACCTTTTTAAAGGAGTGTGTAGCTCTCCCTCCTGTAAATTCTTTCACCCAGAAATGTGCCACTCTTCGGTCCTCCAGGCTTAGCGCTTCTTTTTTATAATAATAATTCGATCCTCCAAAAACAGTGCTACATCATCAGCTGTCCTGTATACCATCTAAAAGGGACCAGGAGGTACAAACCTCACAAGACAAACAGTAGTAGTTACGACAACCCCAGTCCAAGCGAGTTTTTAATGGCAGGAAACGACAAAAGAAAATGGAAGGAAATAAAAATAGTCCACCTTGGAGGTTTTTTGGTCAGGAGGCACAGCCAGTGACTCCCCTATGTCCGCCCAGAACTACAACTGCTGATGCCAATAACTAAATCCCCCCAAGCACAAAATACAACTTCGTTTATATTTGCTAATATACAGGGCTTTAAGCCATCCACCACCAACAAAATACCTTTTATAAAGTGGACTTATAGAGGAGTCAAATGCGATGTTTGCAGCCTTCAGAGACCCACACAATAGATCACTTTGATGTAGAAAGAACAGGCAACAAGGGGGATGGGAGGGTTGGTCTGTATGTCAGTCTTTTTCATCTGCACGGAGATACTGAACGCCACAAATGATGTAGTTGAAATTCTAACAATAAAGATCGAGAACCAAAACCTAGTCATCGTGGTTGTATATAAGCCACCAGATGCAGCCTCCCAACAGTTCAAAGAGCATCTACTGAAAATTAATGTTTGGGGATGGAACCTTCCAGCTCCATCCCCAAACATCTTACTGCTTGGTGATTTCAACCTAAGGCATACAAAATGGAAGAATGTAGCAAATAATGTTATAGCAGAAACAATCCCCGGAGGTAGCGCACATGAAAGGCCACACACACACGAGCTACTAAATCTCTGCGATAAACACACCCTAAGTCACCAGATAGTGGAGCTAACAAGACTTGAAAACACACTTGACCTTATCTTTACAAATAATAAGGACCTGGTGAGACATAATATCAAACAACTAATTGCGATCACAATCTAATCGAAGTTCAGACTTAATGCGCAGGGGCTCTGATCAGCAAAATGCACGTATGTGAAGGTGTCCTCACCAAATAGAACTTCAGCGCCAGTAAGCACTCCATAACCCCCCCCCCTTCCCTATTTCATTTGGCTTGTGTAGCGGGAATTTTCCTCCTTTCGTTACATTTTGATCCAGGACATTATGAAGAAAGTCATTGTCTGTTACTCTCTCTTTTTCCCCACCAGTTGCAGTGTTGAAGGGGCGCAACACTGGAAGCAGACTGCACCATCACCTGGACCTTCTGGAGGCAGGAGTGGTGACTGGTGGTCACCTGTGGAGGCAGGAGTGGTGACTGGTGGTCACCTGTGGAGGCAGGAGTGGTGACTGGTGGTCACCTGTGGAGGCAGGAGTGGTGACTGGTGGTCACCTGTGGAGAGGAGTGGTGATGGTGGTCACCTGTGGAGGCAGGAGTGGTGACTGGTGGTCACCTGTGGAGGCAGGAGTGGTGACTGGTGGTCACCTGTGGAGGCAGGAGTGGTGACTGGTGGTCACCTGTGGAGGCAGGAGTGGTGACTGGTGGTCACCTGTGGAGGCAGGAGTGGTGACTGGTGGTCACCGTGGAGGCAGGAGTGGTGACTGGTGGTCACCTGTGGAGGCAGGAGTGGTGACTGGTGGTCCACCTGTGGAGGCAGGAGTGGTGACTGGTGGTCACCTGTGGAGGCAGGAGTGGTGACTGGTGGTCACCTGTGGAGGCAGGAGTGGTGACTGGTGGTCACCTGTGGGAGGCAGGTAGTGTGACTGGTTGGCACCTGTGGAGGCAGGAGTGGTGATGGTGGTCACCTGTGGAGGCAGGAGGGTGACGGTGGTCACCTGTGGAGGCAGGAGTTGGTGACTGGTGGTCACCTGTGGGGGAGGAGTGGTGACTGGTGGTCACCTGTGGAGGCAGGAGTGGTGACTGGTGGTCACCTGTGGAGGCAGGAGTGGTGACTGGTGGTCACCTGTGGAGGCAGGAGTGGTGACTGGTGGTCACCTGTGGAGGCAGGAGTGGTGACTGGTGGTCACCTTGGAGGCAGGAGTGGTGAATGGTGGTCACCTGTGGAGGCAGGAGTGGTGACTGGTGGTCACCTGTGGAGGCAGGAGTGGTGACTGGTGGTCACCTGTGGAGGCAGGAGTGGTGACTGGTGGTCACCTGTGGAGGCAGGAGTGGTGACTGGTGGTCACCGTGGAGGCGGAGTGGTGCTGGTGTCACTGTGGAGGCAGGAAGTGGTGACTGGTGGTCACCTGTGGAGGCAGGAGTGGTGACTGGTGGTCACCTGTGGAGGCAGGAGGGGTGACTGGTGTCACCTGTGGAGGCAGGAAGTGGTGACTGGTGGTCACCTGTGGAGGCAGGAGGGTGACTGGTAGGTCACCTGTGGAGGCAGGAGGGGTGACTGGTGGTCACCTGTGGAGGCAGGAGGGGTGACTGGTGGTCACCTGTGGAGGCAGGAGGGGTGACTGGTGGTCACCTGTGGAGGCAGGAGGGGTGACTGGTGGTCACCTGTGGAGGCAGGAGGGGTGACTGGTGGTGGTCAACTTCCTGACGTTCTTTCCACTTCGCCCTCGCCCATTACTAGCCAAATGCTGCTAGTTCATCTAGCGCTCCCGGTCTAGATAAAAGTTAATTTTTTCTAAGATCTATTCTGTTAATTCCGGGTTAACCATTCTAAGATTATGCCAGGACAGGGTAAGGTGTGGCAGCCGAAGGAAAACTTGCACAAAATTACGCACAGGTGTGGAACTGTTGGCAGGAAAGTCTTTTTTTTATCCTGCAGTTCTGTGGTTCTCTCTGGTCCACATCACTCTGAACGTGTCTCGAGGTTGTAGTCTTTTCCTGGTACCTCTGGAGAAGCGACTTTTGACGACCTCTGCTCCGACAGGGCTCATGACAGCAGCCCAGAGCCAGATTCTGACCATGCACGTGGTTGCTGTTACTGGCCATACCACGGGTGGGATTAGAACCCGCAATCGTGTCACTACGATTTCGAGAGTCATGCTGTTACTGGCTTTTGTTACCCCCCCCCCCCCGGCTTGGAAAGACGCACCAGTAACACTGTTTTTTGTAACGTTGATGAAAATGCTGACGTTATCAATATTTTTTGAAGAGCGTTGGATACGTTTAAGGTCCCTATATCAGTGTCTACCTTCTCGAAACCACTAATAACTTATGCCTTTGTAATCACGATTATACTTGTTACACTACGTGTTTCAGGTATTATCGTTACAGGGAAGTGGAAAAGCATCATCTTGCTGGTGTCTTTTCGAAAGTTCTTCCTTTGTCGGAAACTTGCATGGCTGTTACTGCATGCCTGTTAGGACCTTGTTACAGACTTCAAACAAAGGTACCGGTTCATATCAGGCGCACGTCAGTTCTTTTGTACTCCATGCACTTAAGATTTACTTAGAGGAACACTTCTTTGGCGAAGTCATCAAATATCTTTGATGTACATGGACGTTGTTGAGCCTTGATGAACCAAGATGATACAAACACTCGTTCTGACATCGTCACTTTAGCTTTAAGTGTTCCGACCAGCTAAGATATGTAATAGATATGGAACTTGCCTTTGTCGATGAGGTAAACTGGGGATGATTGATATCACTATTCGGACACGAGATGAATTTAAAGTGATCCAAGTCCCAAGAGCGGAATGATTTCGGTAAAGCTGTCCTAGGGTTTGTCTGTTTCCCACAAGAACAAATGGTCATCTTTCCTTTCATTTTCTTTGGAATTGTTAGTAACTTACGTTCTTCAGTAACATAGAATGCGCATTGATCTTTATTCTGTAGACTCCATATAAATGACAAACTTTACTTCCCTTGCGGCACGTGCCACTCAAATCAGCAATGGCGGGGTCCACAATCTTTAGGATCTTGGACAAGGTCAGTATATGTCTGGAAACGTATTGTGTATGTGTAGTACTGTCGAGATTTTCACGGCTCTCAGATATTTCTTCGATCAATTACCACCTCTTCATGATGCCTACTTCTGGTCGTTGCATTTCCATCTAACATTCTTGTCTCGAACAATTTGACTGCTCACTTATGGTCCATCCTTGTGAACAAAACCTCTTCACATATATATCATAACCTGCTCTGCCTGTCTTGTTTACAAATGTTGGTCATCTTGAATTTTTAAGTGGATAATCGATCGGATTGAAAAATAACCCAACGGTAACACCCACGCCAGTATTCATGGATGTAGTATTAAAATTGGGAAGATTCGCCCTAAAAACAAGTGCATACTATTTTCTCACATGGTCAGCTGGTGATCTCTGGTGGGGCGGGTCAAGGCATCCACCAGTGTCAACCAAATCTTCGTATCATTCATCCATCACACCACTCATCCATCTTGTTGCATTCTTTCCACAAGTTGTACTGTACTTCATCACTTAATATATATATGATAAAATTGCTTCTGGAATTCAGGCAACACTGAACGGCGGGACAGCAGAGGTGCAGCGTATCATATTTTATGTAACTTGAAGGTGAGCCCTTCTGTAATGTTGACTGGACAAGAAAGATTGCGGAACTGGAAACACCGTGAACCAGCGTCAGCGTTACGGTGCTAGAAGCAACGTGAACCAGGGTCTGCTCCCAATGTAGTAACGAACCCAACATCACACAGACAATACCATTATTGATATTTCTCATTTTCCCTCTCGTATGTTACTAATCGCCCATGTTTCCGTGTTTGCAGAAATGGAAACGAGAGAATGATAGCCTAGCGAAGAACCTACGTCGGCCGCTACCGAAAGAGCCCGATCACCCCATGACTCAAGAGGAATGGAACGAGTTCGCTTGGAATTCTTCCCAGGTATGTGTTCACTCACCTGTGTACGTGGTCGGCTGATTTGGCCACCTCTATTTGGCCAGTTGTGCGACTGTTGCAGATTATATGGCTATCCGTAACTCAGAAGCTGGTTGTGTTGTGGCAGACTGTGAGGGGGAGGGGGGGGGGCAGCTATGTGTTGCCGGCTACAGGGCGAGCTGTGACTCAGTAGCCGGCTGTGTTTGTGTTGCTGGCTACAAGGATAACTGCCTCGGTGGCCACTTATTATATATTACCAACTTTTTATCTGTGTCTTTGCGCAAGCTGCAGATTTGTTTTATATGGGTCGAGTCTCGGGTTTTGGTTCCTCTGAACATAAAGCGTATGGTGGTCATAGCACTGTTTTGTGGTAGCTCATCCTGCTGTAAGACCCTGGGGTTTGACAAAGATTATTTTTTTTTCATTTGTTTTTCAGAAGCTCCTACAGAAACTGTGAATTTCGAGCCCTCTGTTTTAGAAACCGGAGACGCGGTCAAAATGCTCTGAATGTCACAACTGTTACGAACAGAGGCTGGAGTAGGTGAAGAAACGAAACGTTCACTCAGTGTCAAACTTCCAAGAGTTTAAGAAAGGCAGGTACCAGACAGGGAATGTTCAACAGGGTCTGCGTCAGCTTCGATGGTTTAGTTACAGAGACTTCGAGGTATTCCCCTTTTGTTCGGGTCTCGGGACAGTCGGGAATGGCCCCCCCCCGGCCCCCCATCGAGGATAACACTCGACTCCGTAAATATAGTTCAAAATTTCTAATAACAGGATGGAGCAAGGTATTTCCGCCCCCATGACACTACGGTAAAAGGGGAGAGAGAAAAAAAATATCGAATTTAGCTCCCGGGGAAATTTAAAAAAAGTAAAAATTTCCCCTTTCTATCATAGGGTAATTTACTTTGTTGGTTTCACACATTGCGCTAAAGCGGTCAGTGCCAAAATTTATGCATTATTTTAAAGGGGGGGCATTTTTTGAGATATAAAAAATTTAAAGCAAAAACAAAAACCTATTTTCATTTGAAACGTGTGGAGTCGGGAAAAAAAGTGTAAAGCGTTTGGGTAGCTCGCCTTTTCTTACTGTCCCGAGGGTCAAAATTTTTAAAAAAAAAAAAATGGGTCAAAATTTGGAAAATGGGAAAAGCGCCTATCCAGTAACACCCGCCCCCCCGACGGGGGGGTTTTTTTTTTACGCCCCCTGGGGGGGATTACGTCTTCGTTCATTGCTGTGTGGAGTAGGCTTGGGTTCCCCTCGGGGGGGTTACGTTAGATTGGGTTACTAAGGCCCAAACTAAACCTGCCCCGTGTAACATTAAATTTTTAAAATCCGACGGTTTGTTAGGTAAGACACACAGCAACAGTTAGGTATCTTTATTTCGAAACGTTTCGAAAAAAAGATACCTAACTTTTGCATGTGTTCTACCTAAAAAAAACTGTCCTGTGTTTTGCTTTTGCACAGGGGGGGTTTTAAACCTCTTGTTTTCGTTTGCTTTTTTAGCTTGCCGAGGAATTGGAATCCTCGGGTGGAAACTGACTGTTGGGGGTATATGGTCGGGGGGAGGCTCAGTGCTAGTTGCTGAATCTTTCGGCTTGTTTACATCCTCTTCACTGTCTATGGACTGTGTTGGCCTGGTGGGCGAGCATCCGAGCGGCCCAATTTCGATCCACTGGTTTGCCATAAGAAATAAAATGGGGGAACACGTAGCGGGGTCTATCCCAAAACAGGCACACCTTCTCTAAAACCCCCCCACCCCCCCACCCACAAATATACATTTCACTAACTTAATTTAGTAAAATGGGAAGCCTCACCTTTTTGGCTTCGATGACTGAGAGGGGGAATAGGGGGGTGAAGGTAAATTTTTTTTTTCTGAATAGTAAATATACTAAATTTTTGCATCACTAACAAACCCCCCGTGTGACCACGGACTTCCCACAACCCCGATACAGGTTTCGAGGGGAAATATTTTCTGAACCCGTGCTGCCCCCCTTTCCTGTTTTTTGTGTGGAAAAGACACTTTTTTACAGTTTAGGAATTTATTAAAGGAAACGTTTTTTGCACGATGGCTTTTTCAGTCCTAAAACAGAGAAAACTAAAAAAACTTTTTTATAGTGGCAGGAGTCAGGGAGGTGAAGCGTGGGTAGAGGTGGTAGTAGAGTAGTAGTGTAGTAGAAGTAATGGAACTAAGGAGGTGAGGAAGAGAGGGACCTGCTGGCATCAAGTAAACAGTTCCCAGGTGGGTAATTCCCTTTCTTATAATTTTTAAATACGTAATCCCGTTTTCTCTTTGGCACCCTAACCCTTGCACTCCTTCAACCCGACAACCCGTTTTCCCCACGCGCGCGATAAAATTCGGATTGTAGACATGAAAAGGGCAGATTGGGTTTAAACCCATCTTTTAAAACCTTTAAAAACATGGAAAGAAGGAACACTACAACAGGCCTACGGCTATGAGAGGCAGGTCCAATTCCCCACCGGCTTAAGCCAATGCTTGACCTAGTCAGGTAGGGACGTCATTAAAGGGGAGGACACGGCATCCGATAGTCACAAGCTAGTCAGGTCCAATCAAAAACCCCCCACACCCACCATGTATTTATTAATTATTTTTAAAACTATGTAAAATTAAAAGGGCACAAAGGGGAAATAAAGTACATTTTATTGTGGAACGTTTTGCTCTCCCGGAGAGCGAAAAGTTTCCCCAAAAAAATGTGCATTAGTGCATTGGTCTTTTACTTTACATATTTTCGGTAAATTTTACCAACATTTTATTTTTTAAAAATACATAAGTCTTAGCTTCTATGACGGTGTGGGAGTTTGTTCCATATCCCCAACCTTTACCAAACCCTGTTCCCTAGGCCTTTTCCCGAATCTGAATTTTTCCCAACCTTAAAACCATTGTACAATTCCCGTTAGATAATTTTTACATGCTATTTTTATTCCTTTATTAATTCCTTTTTCCCTTTATACAACTCCGTCGTATCCCCCCTAATTCTACGCCTTTCTAGCGAGTGCAGATTCAGGGCCCTCAGTCTATCCTCATAGGGGGATTTCTGATACATGGGGAAAATGTCATCCCCTTTTACTTTTCCAGAGCATTTAATCCATTCTGTAATTTTTTTTTTTTTATTATCACACTGGCCGATTCCCACCAAGGCAGGGTGGCCCGAAAAAGAAAAACTTTCACCATCATTCACTCCATCACTGTCTTGCCAGAAGGGTGCTTTACACTACAGTTTTTAAACTGCAACATTAACACCCCTCCTTCAGAGTGCAGGCACTGTACTTCCCATCTCCAGGACTCAGTCCGGCCTGCCCGGTTTCCCTGAATCCCTTCATAAATGTTACTTTGCTCACACTCCAACAGCACGTCAAGTATTAAAAACCATTTGTCTCCATTCGCTCCTATCAAACACGCTCACGCATGCCTGCTGGAAGTCCAAGCCCCTCGCACACAAAACCTCCTTTACCCCCCTCCCTCCAACCCTTCCTAGGCCGACCCCTACCCCGCCTTCCTTCCACTACAGACTGATACACTCTTGAAGTCATTCTGTTTCGCTCCATTCTCTCTACATGTCCGAACCACCTCAACAACCCTTCCTCAGCCCTCTGGACAACAGTTTTGGTAATCCCGCACCTCCTCCTAACTTCCAAACTACGAATTCTCTGCATTATATTCACACCACACATTACCCTCAGACATGACATCTCCACTGCCTCCAGCCTTCTCCTCGCTGCAACATTCATCACCCACGCTTCACACCCATATAAGAGCGTTGGTAAAACTATACTCTCATACATTCCCCTCTTTGCCTCCAAGGACAAAGTTCTTTGTCTCCACAGACTCCTAAGTGCACCACTCACTCTTTTTCCTCATCAATTCTATGATTCACCTCATCTTTCATAGACCCATCCGCTGACACGTCCACTCCCCAAATATCTGAATACGTTCACCCCCTCCATACTCTCTCCCTCCAATCTGATATTCAAATTTTCTCACCTAATCTTTTTTTTTATCCTCAAACCCTTTCTTTTTTCCTTATTCCCCCTTTTAATTTTCTTCTTTTGCCCACCCAAAAACCAAAATTTCATCCACCAACTCTGCAACTTCTCTTCGAATCCCCCAAAGGGAGCACAGTGTCATCAAAAAAGAGCAGGGGTGACAACCCCCACTTTGGTGTGATTTTTTAAATTTTTTAACCCTTGAGGGCCTCTTCCCCAAGACCCTCCCCCCTTTTTTTCTTCTCTTACAACCCCATCAAAAATTTATATTAAACAACCACGGTGACATCACCCCACCCTTGTCAAAGGCCTACTTTTAGGGGAAAAATTTCCCTTTTTTTCCCCCATACCTAACTTGACCCTCACTATCCTCGTAAAAACTTTTCACTTTTTTTCATTTAACCTACCTCCTACCCCAAAATACATTTGCAATTTCGGGCCACAATTGCCCCCCTTCCACCCTGCCCAAAAAACCCTTTTTTTCCAAACCCATAAATGCCACAAAGACCTTTTTAAAGCCTTATCAAAATACTGTTCACTTTAAATTTTCACTGTAAAACACCTGGGCCCCCACCCCCCACCTTTTCCCAAAAAACCTCCCCTTTTTCATCTGCTATCCTATTCTCCGTCTTACTCTTTAAATTTTTTTTCAATTAAAAAACTCAACCATAAAATTTTTAAGGGAAACTCCCAAAAGACTTATCCCCCTAAAAATTTTTGGGACTCTCTTTTTTCCCCTTTTCCCCTTTTTACAAAGGAACAAAACATGCCTCGGGCCCAAACCCCCGGTTTCCTTACCCCAACCCCTTTCCCAAAAATTTATTAAATAATTGCCCCCAAAAACCCCCCAAAAAATAAATCGCCACCTGCTTTTAACAATTTTTTACTTTATTCCCAACAATCCCGGCTGCCTTAAACCCCCCTTTTATTTTAAACCCACTGCCTTTACGAACTTCCCCCACACTCACAACCCCGGCTCTTTCCCAAAATCCTACCCAAATTTATT